GATGTTTATATCAGTTCCTTTTACATTGTTTTACGGACGAGCTGTATTTGTAATTTAGGCAACCAATATTCCACTTCGTTTCAAAAATCCCGCCTAATCAAAACGGTTGGATAAGGACACGTTGTTCCAATATTTGACGAGCTGTCTTTACTGAATGATATGCTGTGATTGACCTATGGTTGTGACAGAGAACATAGAGAAGCGACATAGAGGCTGATTTTGCAAAACCACCCTTATTGACATTGGAGTCCTCAACCGCCAAAGGCAAGCGCCAAATTTAAATAGTCGATGATGAATGAAAGTGAAGGAAACTGCCCATTCACAATGGACATAAGGCATAACAAGTACACAAAGCTTACATAAATACATAAAGTTGAAACGATGGAAAACGTGTACCCCTGTTCACAGTGGACGAACGTAATTCTTATGCTTATGAACGTTTTATGTAATCCTTGTGTGCGTACACAAAGTTGAAACAAGTTCAACTTTGTGCACGAATTATGTCAAAATTATGTTAAAATCTAGGGACTTTTGAATGCTGCTGTTGAATTCCCTTTGACAGTTGGCACTTGGCACTTCACACCTTTGATTATATTATATAAATTATAATCAAAGCTTCACACTGCGAGTCTGTTCTGTACTGCGAGTTGTCAAGTTCGAATATCGTATGAAATTGTAGGTTAGATATTTTGATTGACTCCAGAGATCTCTTAGTAACCTAGATACGGTGATCCTATGCAAAAGCGAACATACGTTCTTGGCCAACATGTACACTATGCGTTTTGCTTTCCATCTTCTTTTACAGCATGGGAACGCAGGAGTATGATTTTCTAGGTCTTTGTTTAAACCTAGCAATTTACGATTTTGCGCAGTAAACCCTTAAATTCTGCTAGCGCAAGTCGGTTCTTAATTCATACAATGGCCGGTGTTTGTGTGTTTGTTAGTTTGTTCTAAGAGATTTCTTAGGTTATAAGATTTATATTACGGTTATAAGTTTAAACTGCATAGAATTTCTAAAAATGGGTTACAGAGTGTGTGTTGCATGCAAAGAAAGATCTAATAATTCTTTTGTTTCGCAAAAATATTACAAAGATTTTTAATAATCCCGACATGAACAATCAGTGCATTTCTCAGGGATTACTGGATAATCACTGAGAAAATCACTGTAATCACAAAATACAATTGATGAAGGCAATAGCGCAAATTTAAAATTATTAATTTAAAAGTCCGCTTGCAACACGAAGCAAAACTGGTAAATTTTGCTTCAAAACAGGCGAAAATAAGAAGTAAATTAGTAAAATACATTTTATTTAATAATAATGAGTAACTAAGATTACATTAAATCACCAGTATTTAATAATAATGTTAATAAATTTATACCACAGCCACAGTAGATCAGTAACGAAACTTCAGCAATATTTGCGGAACGGGTGTGACCTTGGGAGCCCGTTCCCGGGAAACACGAAGATTCAAATATTTCGTAGCATTCGTATGTGATTCATATAATACTAATAATTGTACACAAAAACAAAAATGGATGGCATGTACTAGTGACATTGGACATTTTTTTCTTTCTTATAAATTATTAATATATTCAAGCAAAACATTTTTATTCAATTTTGACGTTTTAAACTGCGTTTATTAAATCCTTAACAAGTCTGACAAATAAGTTGTTATCCACAAGTGAATTGCAAAATTTTTATTTCGCTCTTAATATTTTTAAATCACTCACAAAAAAATAAAAAACAACTTCAGGAACATAAACATTTTGCTTATTATTTTTAATAGTTTTCACAGGATACAATTTGTTTACAATTTTCACTAAAAGGTTGCTGCAACTAAATCAGTATTGTTTGACATATTTGTTTGGCTCTGTGAGACGTCAATTTGGAATTGTATAAATCCCACACCAATACAATTCCAAAGTGTGTTTCGGAAACTATTTACTACAGATTATTTCGATACGAGTGCAAGAACCAACTGTGAAACACTATTTTATTTGAAATGAAAAATTTGCCAAGGTGTTCTTTTAAACAAACTTCCACAACACATCTCCCCTGTATTCCAGCCTCTTCAACAATCATTAAGTGATGTGAGTTACCGGAAACTCACCTTGAAAGAACACAACTGTTTATGGTATGTTTGTGGATACTCATTAATACGAAAATTCTTACACCACCACTTCTGCGAAGTTTGTTGTGAACTTTGCACATTCTTACGAAGTGGTACATCCTGTTTTAATTGTGTGACATTTTAAAGTCTTCAGTGAAGGTGTGATTTTTGGCTATTTAATGATGCCACCTAAACATTTTGCAGTTTATACTCCGGTAATGGGTAATACATTTTGTGAGTTTTTCCCAATTTATGCACCGTAGTCGTTAACTGGTTTGCGGCTAAAAAACGAACCACACAAAAATACCATTCCATCACCCCTGCAAAGACTTTCCTCTTGACTACCTCGTTTCAGTTTTTATTAGTTAGAATTTTTTACACACTAAAATTTAAAAATAAATCTTGGACCGCTCAAACACGCACACATCGAAAATTAAACTATTTCGTTTAACCTGCAGTTTGTTGACCTCTTTAGCCTGGAATTTTCTAGCATTTTTTACATGTATCGTAAGTATCTATTACTTTGTTAACATAAATTTTACGTTTGTTTTTAACCCCATAACCCAACATCCCCTATGATTCCGTAATTAATATGACATTTCTTGTTGACAAAACCAGACAAAACGTTCACCGAAAACCTGAAAATGAAAAAGAAACTATGTTCTTCAAGGTCGGAGCACCTTTAGTGACGCTAGTGACCTCTTTATGTCGTTCCGTAAGCTCCCCATGTATTTCTTATGGAATCAGCTGAGACTTTCATAGCCCTGCCACAGCTGTACGTCCTTTTTCTTTTTCGTTTTAAGCTCTCAACATTGTGCATGCAAATAAATACAATACGATTCTCTATTTATGTTAGAAACGTTCGTGGCAACAAAAACTTTTGACTCTAAGAAAATTGTATTATGTCATTTTTCAAGAGTTTCGCCGGTGTGAATGATAAAGAAAAAGTACGAAAAAAGGGAAGTCGACAGTCAAATTTATTCCAACGATCTTGTCCGTGTAATATTTTAATCTTAACATTACAAATCATTTTGGAGATTGCTTAGAAACTTTTCGTTTGCCACTTGTTAAAAAACTCGAGTTATGATTCTCATTTATACCATTTTAAATCAGTGCGCCAAATTATCAACCAATGTTAACAGTCGCTAGAATTAGACGAAGATAACACTAGTATGTAGTGCACATTACAACGAGTAAGAGAAAGACAGAACTAAAAATATGACGACACTATTTTCATACATGTTGTTCCACTCTTTGCTGCCCATAGCCGTATCTAGGTTACTAAGAAATCTCTGATTGACTCAGTTTGAGGTTAGCCGTTTCTATGTTTAGCGGGGAGTTATTCCGTTATGCGTTTGCGCAGTTTAACAATTCTTACAGAGTTCAATCTGTCCACTGTGAAGGTAAATAAGCATAAGCCAGACACAAACCAAAAACGTAAATTATGTTATGCGCATGGTAGAAGGAGACATGGTATAGGCATCCGATGTACCAATTTAAAAATGGTCTGCGCATCCATTTGTGACGTTAGGTGGCATCAACGACCTTGTGACTCTTGTGAGCTTCGCTAGGGAAGTCTAGGGAATTTCAGCTTGAGTTGTCATTGCTCTGTCCAATACGTCAATTAGTTGTCGGATAACGAATTGTATTTTAAATTTCGCGCTAATTTCACCCCACTTGACGTCACACCCGATGCGTATGCCTATACCATGTCTCCTTCTACCATGGTTATGCGCTCGTTCTTATGTCTTATGTCCATTGTGAATGGGCAGAAACAGTAAGCAGCTTGTAATATTCTGGTAAATCTAGTGTCAATTTGTCGAAAATAAAACGCGTCGTTAAAAATATTATGACATTTCTTCTAGTTACTTTTATTCCTCGTTAGAAACAAACACTGCTACCAACATAAATTGAGAAGTCCTCAACCGTCATTTGATTTTGATTTAAACTATGACGCTTCTCTATGTTCTCTGGTTGTGAGCTGTGTCAGCTCTGGTTGTGAAGTTTGAGGTTAGGTTAAGTTTGAGCACATGTATTTACAACGAATGTGTGTGTCGTCGTCTTCGTTGATTCACTATTAAAGTCTCTCCAATTGGTTACAATCGTCCGACTTGTCAAAAGGGAAAATATCAAAAGATGTCACCCCCTTCGGGAGTTACAGGAACCTTTAATTAATCCGTTTTGTTACGCGCCAAAACAGTTTGTGCTTGAATTGATATTAGCAAAATGTCCAAAAAATATTGCTCTGTGCCTGCTTGTGGAGTAATCAAGGATCCTAGAGACCACAAAATAATGCACAGATTCCCTTCAAACACTGTGAACAAAAGGTTGTGGTGCAAAAAGGTTTTTAATGCTACAAGTAGGTACCCAAACATGAATCTTTTACCTAAGGGAATGTATAGGCATTAAAACCATTTCATGATAATATTTCCAATAATTTATACTTTTGAGAGAAGTTGTTATTATTTAAATAAAAGACTTAAACCCGGCTCTGTTCCTACTTTGTTCCTCCATGGTTCCAAGTCACCGCTACCTGTTCCTACTTCTTCAAGCTATCCAGCAAGTAATAAACGTGATCCAGAATGCAGCTTCATAATTCCTGAGACACATTCCGATAACAATGTAAACACCTCAAAGAAAAATTTTCCTACTGCATATCCCTTTGAAGACGATCCACGCCCATGGCGTTGTGATTTTGGCACCGGTACCGAAATTTTGCCTCTTTTTCTAGTAAAAACCGAAATACATGATGTCATTGTGTCAAAAAGTCAGACCATGACAGACATTTAGCTGACATTACAGATTCCTTTCCCTCCCGACGTATGCGCCCTCACATGTCACATTTAAGGGATTGGGGAGACTTTAATAGTGAATCAACGAAGACGACGGTGTGTGTAAATGAAATAAATTGTACATTTGTTGATGTGGTTGAGAATAATTTTCCAAACGTTTGGCAAAACTGATTTATAGTACACCGAAGATGTTGCAAAATGATAGTTTTCCTAGAGGTGGGAAAAAAATTGTTGCCGTTGAACAAATTAAACGTAAACGTGAAGATAATGTAAGTTAGTTTCAGAGGATTTTACAGCTTAAAAATTCTTAACACTTAAGTGACCAATAATAATTACAGCTTTTTCGAGTTGACGATTATCAAAAAGCAAAAAAAGTAAAAGTTAAACAACCCAAAGAAGATTCAAGCAGAAACCAAGCATGGCACATGTCACTGAAACCACAAGGAACCCTTAGTTACAATGTGAGAATAATACTTTATCAATTTCTTGGTTAATACTGCCTTTTTAGAAAATACAAGAAGATATGTTACTTTTGAGTTGTGTAAGGCATGTTTCAAATCTAGCCGTGCAGATTGAATTTTCTGGTCTTACATTTGGCCTAGTTACAATTAACGCAATTTCAGACACATTCACTAAAAATTTATCTAGCTGTTTGAAAACAGGAGACAATGAGGTGGGTAAAATGCTATTTTTACTCAAATATATTTATTTAAACTGTTTCAGTCATATGCTTTGTCTGTGAGAAATGTGGTTAAAATTGGTCAGCTAATGCCAGCAAAAATTATTTCAATTAAGAAAACAGAAAAAGGCCATGAAGTTCAAGCTACTGTTAATCCAACAGCTATAAATTCAGAGAGAGTGCATAAAGCTTTTAAAAAAGGTGAACTTGTGTGGGCAAATATTGTATCAGAACTTGATCATGGTTATGAATTAACAGTGGGTGTAGAAAACTGCAGAGTGTTTCTACCTTTTAAGAACATTGATAAAGGACAAAAATATGGTAGGTATATTTATTTATTTATTTAATTAACTAAACTCAATAAGTGACAAATATTACCCAGGTGCTATTATTTGAATCTGTTGTATGACTCAGACCTTAGCAGAGTTACATGCCTTGAAAGATATCAGAATTTCGATGTGAAATAATTTACAAGGAAATATTGCATTACAAAGTATATTTTGTTTGTTAACATTATCTTCTTTACATGTAATGTTGTGAATATTAATTGGTTCAGGAGATTATTTACCGAATGATAATTTATTTTCTGAATTATTAACTATAGTATTATATTAAGCAGATTCGCCAGGGTAAAAGACTTCTTGTGATCTATCTATAATTATTCCAGCTTAACATGGCAAAATATAAAATCCATTAGTAATGTCTTTTATGCTAGATTTAGTGATCGTGTGATCAGTTGTCAAAAAAAAGCAGTGATTTTCTGAAGATCAAGTGTACATCAATCAATCCTACAATTTATCTTAAAGCTTTTGTTGTTCCACATCTATAACCGTTAAAAGTCTGATATATTTACCTAACTTAATTTATGATATAGTGTAATATGTTTTTTAGATGTTGGTGAACCATTATATTGTGTAATTCATAAAATTGATGAGTCCAATGTTGCCACTACTTTAACTGTGAGTGCTAAACAAGAACACGTCAGTAAAATTCAACCAAATGATTTAAGTTTAAATCATCTCATTCCTGGCATGAAAGTTGAGTTATTAATTGAAGAGGTAAAATATTCTTCATCAGTTTTGGAACCTATTTATTAATTTTACAAAATTCTTCAGGTAACACCACAAGGCATCAGAGGTCAATTTTTTGAGAACTGTTTTGGATACATTGACGAGACTCAATTTTCTAAAGTAAATGCAGCGACTTTAAAAGAGGGTACTACTGTAGATGCTTATGTTTTGTTTGTTGAACCCATAACAAAAGTAACTTACCTTACATTACGTGGACTTGGAAATTTAACTGAACCTAAATTTGAACTGGGAAAAATAGTTTCCGCGAAGATTCTACGAATCGTACCTAAAGGTTTATACATTCAGTTAGGGAAAAATGAAATAGGATTTGTTACCAATAAACGTTTGTTAAAGACATTGCCCAAAGAAAAACAGTTTGATATTGTTCAAGCAGTTCGAAGCAGGTATCATATTGGAAAACAATATGATTGTCGAATATTAGATTACAATTACATGGAACAGTTGTATATCTGCACATTTGAAAAACAATTAATCAAAGAACCAAACTTCAGTGCTAAAGATTTAGCCATTGGACAGTGTGTTAAACTCATTGTTGATAAAATTGTTCCCAAAGGATTAATTGTCAAAACTGGCCACGTGCAAGGTTTTGTGCCCAATATGCATGTGTCTAATGTACAGTACAGCGAAAATTTGAAAGCGAAATTTTCAGTTGGGATGCATGTTGATGGGAGGTAAGTATTAGTAATTTTTGTTACACATTTATTTTTTTATTATTATTATTTTAAGAATATTAAATATTACAACTGAAGGCAATGTGATATTCACTTTAAAGCAAGGTCTATTAGATTCTGAAAAGTGTTTATCAAAACCAGAAGATGCAGTGCCTAAATCTCAACACGTTGGATTTGTAGTTCAAACAAAGATATCTGGGGCGTTAATTTCTTTTTATGGCGATATTAAAGGCTGGATTAGTAATAAAACGTTAAATTCTGAAAATTCTGGACGGTATGTGGATCCACGGGAATATTTTTTTATTGGACAAGTGGTAACTAAAATTTTCTTCATTTAAAATAACAAGTTAAATGCCATCATCTTTTATGTTTTAGGTGTCGGTATGGATTTTAGGCTTTAAAAACGATAAACTTCAACTATCTTTAAATGCTCCAAATGACACAGTGAACCTGGAAGAAGCACAAAAGAACATTGCAGTTGGTGAATTTTTAAATGGTACTGTAGTTAAGATTCATTCTGAAGGATTGAAGCTAAAAGTGGGACAAGAAAAAATTGAAGCTTTTATTCCCACAAACCACTTGAGTAACAATTTACATTTGTGTCAAATTTTACAGAGTAAGTTACTTTTTTGGGGGAATCGAAATATTATAATATATCTTGCAGAAACCTATCAAGAGAGAGATAAAATTAATAGTTTGTTGTGTATTAATAATCGAAACTCTGCTCCAATAATGAGTAGGAGGGAGTCTCTAGCGTACAAAAAGCATTCGCTTAAAACATATAAACTACGCCAATTGAAAAAAAATATGATTTTAAGATGCTCATTTGAAGAAAATTCTCAAACTGGGATTTACGTCTCAGCCCCTATAAAAGATTATTCTGAAAAAATATTTATCCCAACAGAAGTAAAAGATTTTTTTTTAAATCTAAACATATATTTATTGTATATTTCCAGAATATTTGCAATAGTGAAGAGTCTTTACCACAATTTGAGAAACAGCAGCATATTCTTACAAAAGTTTTGAACGTGGATTTGGACTTACCAAAAATTGATTTGTCAGTTTTATCAAATGATTCATCAAATACAAGCCCGGAGGTAAGAAATTCTCATCTATAACATACCTTTAAAAAAAGTTGTTACTTACGTTATTAGCTTGAAAAGTGGTAGTATTTTGTTTAAAGAGCAGATACATACAACGGAAAATGTTAATTTGAAACAAATTTAAAATAACGCTTTATTACTCAAGAACTAAACTACAATTGGTATACACTAAAATATACATGGTGATTCAGTGTTATTTGTGCTGATTTGTCGTAACAACTACCAAACAGACTGAAGAAAATGTAATGTCAACGTTTAAATCAAGCTATTCTTTGAATAACAAGTATTCAGGGAGTTATGAATGGGTTGAGAATGGGAATAAATGTGCTTAGAAGTTATTTTTAAAGTTGGTGCAAGCATTGGATTCTCTCATTTTTCCTTTTTCTTTGATTATTACGTAATAAAATGTTTGACAATACCTCATTATAAAGAAACGGCAAAGTCGACCAGAGAAATTTTAAATGTACAATCTGTCCTCAGTAGTTCTCTGAGTGCAAAAGGTGGTACAATAGTTTATACCAACGTAGAATTCACTTGAACTAATGAACGTCCCAGCATACTTTATAAAAAAAAAGTGTACATTTTGAAGAAAAAAGTTTCAATTTCTGACAAATCACTCTCAAGTGTCACATTATTTTCCTTTTATGTTATTTTTGGCCACACAGTTTGAGGTTTTGCTACAGCAAAGCAAAAATACTAGTTTGGTTACCAAACTTTGCATCCAAAATGTTTTTCCGCTCTACGAACTTCACGTATAAGACAAAAACAAGGACGACTTTAGGTGCATGTATAATTTCAGTGCCAAGAAATTCGTATCTAGTTGGAAACGTGTCCTTCTATAAACCGTTCGTCCAGTACAATATATCATGAGCCTTCCGTTGTACTTATTGCTTGCATCTCAGTATTTTTGTAATACCAACATACATTGTATATCACTATACTGTAAAACAAAATTCAATGCGAGACACTGGATGTAACTTAATAAATAATAAATGTTTAAACTTCATAAAAAAATATTTTCAAATAAGGAACTTGTACTCCAATCTTGTCTATTCAACATATAAACAATTGAATAAATATCAAATATTTCATAACATTTATTGTAGGATGTGTTGAAGTCATTTGTAGAAACTTTAGAAGAAATTAAACACATTAGCGACTTGTATCACAAGAAAAGTTCAAAGCTCACTAAACATAAAATCGGAAGTCCAGTGAAGTGCAAAATACAGAATATTGATTTAAATGGAACTTGTTATGTAACGTTAGCCAATGATACAGAAGGAGTAATTCCTAAGCACTTAAAACCATGTAAGTTTTTATTTTTTTATGAGTTATTGTTTTTACTGTTTTAACATTTTCTATATTTTCCTCCATTTTTTTATAGCAAATTGTGAAGTCGGATCAGTCGTAGAAGGAGTTGTTCTAGAGCACAATTTTTTGGATAATCTTGTTGAAATATGTGCCCTAAATAGTATAAATCAAAAAATAAACAAACTACAAGGTAATTTTTTTCAGTTAGTCCTATATTATATTTGAAATGAAGATAACGTTTTTTGTATTGTTTTTCTGCACAGTACTTAAGCTATGCTTGTAAAATTTCACTTAACTAAAATAATTGAACGTTGCATTTAGAAATTGCTGCATGTCGTGTTCTTTAAACCACAAACATTCACTATTTATATTTTAAGATAATTTTTTACAGTTCATAATGTCCTACCAGTTCTGAAATTCAATTTGTAACGTAATCTTTTGTACTGGTGTTAACATTCATCCTTCATATTAAAATTGAAATAGATCTTTTCGAAACAACACATTGAGTTATCGAAAGCTGTGCGGAGGAAATGGTCCAGTGGTGTCGAGAATGTTGTTCTTATAGGGGCCATTGAAAAATATCGCGAACGTAAAAGTCGAAAATTGGCGATGGTATACAACTTTAATCCTTCCTGTCGGACTTACATTATTGTTATTTTGTTTCTAAAAAGTAATTAGTGGTTGATTCCCCTACTCGCCCTAGTACAAATATGCAAAAAACACAGTTTTATGGGAAAAATTTATTATTAAAAAATGTATCATAATGGATTCCCAAGCCCCAAGTGGAATCCAATTCATCCCAATCTATCGGAGAAATCCCAAAGTGGTCATGATTCTCGTCTTCATCGTTAGACAATAAATCGTCTTCACTATCTAAATCTTTTGTATTCACATTGAACACAAATTCGTCACTTGCTTCGTTAAACAAATGTTGTTTTTCTATGCATCGTTTACGATTTTCTCTACATGCAAACAAATTTTGGTCCAATACGCAGGCGTAATGTCATCAAATCTCTGTTTGGCCAGCTTCTTCACGTCTTCTGATTTGTAAGTCACATTTCTGGCTGCCACCCAATTTTTAACCAGAGCGCATATTTTTTCTATTGGATCAAGCTCTGGATGATAGGGTGGCAACCTTGGAATGCGATGGCCATGTTGTAACAACTCGGTGTCCAGTACATTGTACATTCTTCCCTTTATGTTGCTTGATGATGCTGTAGAGCTTTTCCATTGTTGGGAATGTTTCTTTCCACCAGCCACTTTATCATGTCCTGCTTCTTCGTTACGGTGGTTGGATCGCGAGTAGTGGCAACGTTATGATAAGACGCGTTATCAATTACTCCTACCAAAACCGATTGTGGCGGCAAATTTAGCAACAGTTGGTTTCCAATTTACTTCATAAAATTATTATGGTTTATATCGTAGTAGTGATCACCGCTTTTTGAACCCGATTTGAATATTAAGAGTGGCAACAGGAATTTGTATGCCCTTTTCTGCCTCTTGCTTTAAAAATTCGATAACCTCACGTAGTTGACTATCAAGCACCTTCCCTATAATTGCAATTGATTTCCGTGTTGACATTGTTACACAACAAAAATTGAAAATGCACACTAAAAATATACATACTCATTATTATTTTATACGGTATTTGCAATGACCACCACTGTAAAAAGCTGATCCTGACATCAGAGAGCACCCTTCAAGTTTGAAAAATGACTCGTCCAAACCAGAACTGGTAATCTGCTAAACTTTATTGATGTGCTGTTTCGAAAAGATTCTATTATAGCAGTACATATTATTGCATCAATTCTCTTGCTTTTAATACAAGCTTAACGCTTAAATATACATAAAACTGGTGTAGAGATATATAAAATTTCATTCTGTAAAGTAGCTTACTTTGGAATTATATTAATTAATTTATTAAAAGCGTTAAACAGTAATCATTAAATGACACCTAATTTCGGCATTGTATACACTTACAGTATAAAATTGTATGATCTTCACTGTAAAGTACGATATATAATATAAATATTTATATTTGGTTATTTTCATTTTAGATGGGGTTGTCAACAAATCCTTCCATTCATCGTGCACAGCAAAAATCTTATTGATTACAAAACCTTATGTGATCGGAGTTTTAAACGATAAATGTTGCAACAGGCAATTAGTATATATACCTCTAAGTTGTATGACAAATATATCAGATTTGTGTACGGATAAATTGAAAGTTATTATTTACAGGTACGTTTAAAAAATGAATAAATTAGGTGAATACATTTTTATTTTGATTGTATTTTAGACGTCTTGGAAATCGCATTATAGGTTTACCCAAAAAATATGTGCGTTCTTTGAAGAAAAAGACCGAGAAACAATTAATTCGCCGTGAAAGTAAACTAAAAATAATAAGAAAAGACACTGAAGATATTGTTACAGATGAAGATGAAGGTATTAGTAGTAGTTCTGACATAATTATTGAAACAAGTAGCGTGAACCAAAATGAAAAAAGCATTACAAATGAATACAGTAAACAGTTTCACAATTCCGAGAACGGCAGCGACGAAGAGGGTAATGATTTTCATTACATATGACTTATGGTATAGTTCTGTACATTTTTGTTCTTTCTTTTAGCGCCCTTAACATCCTCTACAGATAAAAGTTATAAAGAGACAAATAGTGAACCGGTTTTATCTGGAACCAATGCATTTTACATAATAAATGATGACAACAAATTTGAAAGTGAGTCTTCTTCAGAAGAGGAAGAGAATGAAGAAGTGAAAAACAGTAAAAAGAAAAAAATGTCTGTAACTGAAAGAAGAGAAGCAGTTAAAAAAGAAGAGGAAAGAATTGCAAAAATAGAACAACAATTGATAGATACTTCAATTTCCCCCCAAAGTGCTGAACAGTTTGATCGAATGCTTTTAGCTAATCCAAATTCGTCAGAATTATGGTTGCAGTATATTTCAATGCATGTTGCGGTATCAGTTAATAATTAATATATCTTTTCTTTTTCTGATCTGATTATTGTAGGCCACAGAGTTAGACAAAGCTAGAAGTGTTGGAAGACGAGCAATAGAAACAATTAACATGACATTGGTCAAAGAAAAGTTTAATATTTGGGTTGCGTTACTAAATCTGGAAAATATGTATGGGACAAAGGTAAAGCATACGTTTTTTTTTTCTGTTAATTTTCATGAACATGTTGTAGGAGTCGTTTGAAAAATTGTTTGAAGAAGCTGTAAAGTACAATGATTCATTGGAGATGTATTTAAGTGTTATAAAAGTACTTGCCGCTTCAGGAAAATTGTTAGAAATGGAGGAAAAAATTAAAAAGCTAAGATCCAAAGAAAAACAAAGCACACAAATGTGGCTAGAAATTGGTCGGGTATACTATTCTTTAAATAAATTTAGAGAGGCACGAAATATTAAAGAAGCTGCGCTTAAATCTATCTTAGATAAAAAGAGACGTAAGTTAAACATAACATTAAGTAACTCTCAGGCACTGAAAGATTTGTCAATTGCATGTTTACAAAATTACATATCAGTAAATTTTAAAAACAAAAAGCCTTAGCATATGTAAATGAAATAATTTCCTACCACTCCACGATAATTTGTGATCAGTGTATTGTTGCATGCAACCGTAAAAATTATAACTATAAAATTAACAGCAAGTAATATTTTTGTTAAATTGGTGGATAATTTTTTGGTGGTTATTGTTTTTTTTTTATGGAATTGTTTACGAAAAACAAGTTCGACTCACGACTTTCGTTACTTGACTGGTGACAGAGCTGTCCTGTTTTTTACTGTTTTAACGAGTAGATCATTGAAGTACACTGCTAACGTTCCAGTTGTGCCTTAAATATATCCTTGCGAATATAATTTTTTAGATATTTTATTTTTTCAGAATTTGATCTTCTGGTGCGTTTCGCAATTTTGGAGTGTCAGCTTGGTGATCAAGAAAACGCCATAGCAAATTTCGAGACTATTTTGGGTATGCATCCATCAAAAGTGAATATTTGGATTATTTACGTAGATCAAATGGTCAAACGAAAAAATATTGAGTTTGCAAGGTACGTTTATATTGTCCAAGAGGAAATTCGATCATTGTTAAAGTGCATATATTTTTAGGAAAATCCTTGAAAAAGCTGTTACACAAAAACTTGGTGTAAAATTAATGAAAATTCTTTTTCAAAAATTCATTAACTTTGAAACACAACATGGTACACCGGAAACAGTTGAAAAAGTAAAAAATCTAGCAAAAGGATACATTACTACATTAGGAGAAACGTAATTTTTTCATTAGGTGTTGTAAATTAGAGTTAATAAAATGTTTTTATTTTTCACTTCTGTTTCATCTTCATAGTCAAGTGTCGTTATTTTTTTTCTTGTTTCCCAATAGAGATTCTGCAATTTTCTTAATATTTTATCTAATGTTACTGCTAAATATTACTAAAAAATATTTTTGTTGATTGATTTACTACACATTATAAAAATCGTTATTTTTCTTTTAACACTATACTGTCGATTTGCGTAACGACTTCACCTCAATGAAGGATTTTCGATGAACTTGCGTTTGTTTCAACTTAGGAATAATTATATTTTCTATAGTACTTATAGTTAACCAAGCCATTCATTAAAAACCCAAGCTATAAGATGATCACGTGCCCTTCACGAGATGACTAGGTCAACAACCAGGAGTTGTAGCGGCTAGAATAAAAAAAAAATTGGTGGAAATTCATTTCGATAGTACTTCCCTCGCCACTGATGTACAGTCCAACAAATCCCTTTTTGATAAATTATAAGATTTGATTTTGCGATTTTTCTTTTGTGATAACCTCTATAAAGTCAAAAAAAAATCATAAATAATAAATAAAACCCCCCGGAATCCCTGCGCCGCAGGCGCCCAAATTGCAAGGAGGCTTGGTCTGCAGAAATGAACGATAGAAAATACATTATTTAAAGCAGATAACCAAGGGAAAAATGTACTTTTAACAATTATGTGCTTAACTTCGAGTGTTTATGTTTATACTTCGAAAGAATTCGATCATAATCACGTACAAGCATTAGTGGCCGTATAAAAGAAAATTAAATTTTATTGATTTTGTTTCCTTAAAATAGGGGAGAGGACTGATTACGCTGTAGTCCCAGCCCCGTAGCTAGAAAACTTATTCAGGGGGGGCAAATTTGTCGACAGAGGGGGCTGCATGTAAATATGTATACACTTATACATATTTTAATAATACACTCAGATTACTACTTTATTTTTTCTCAGTTTTTACATTTGAAAGAGCATTAAAATAATTGTAAACGTCGATTTTTTACGCTATTAAATTTTCGTAAAAACCTGTCAAAGTCCAAAAAATTGGTACGGTACTTTTCAGAAGCCAGAAAAACCAAGTTATCCAATCTTGGATAATTTGGATGCGCCGGGCGATCTATTCTGATTAAAACAGAGAATGTAAATTCATAAAAAGCTGTACCTACTGCATCCAAAAATTCGTGCAGTGGCCAATAACACTAGGTAACAACCAATTTGTTTCAGTTTATTTTTTTGTATATTTAGTAGTAGGCTATGGAATAAAATGTGACATGACCAGTACGCGGGAATTTATCTCACCGCTGCAATTCCCCAGTTGAAGTAAGGTGTGTTTTACGGCGAGTAGCGGGGACGCTTTGATCTGGTCCACAAGGTCGTAGCCAGTGCGTCGCTAGGAGTGTTTACAGCTGGTAAAAAACTACTTCTATATTACTATATTACTTCAAATAATAATACTCCATGTCCTTTTTAATTTTTCAACCACAGGACCAGAGCTTTGTGATCTTGAAATGTTATATTATGTTGAAATAGTCCAAAATAAAAATATATTTGTAATCAAACTGGTTCTAGCGTATGAGATACAATTCCACGCGTTGGACATGACAGTTCGTTCTTTTATATGGTCAACATCAACGTTAGGGTGATATTGCCAAATAACATACCCTGTAAGAAAATAAAGGGCTCGTGGGTGGGGCTAACAAATATGCTTCGGCAATCGGCATTATATTGAAATTTTATTACTAATTTGAAATTTATAATGTGTAAGTCTTCCTGGGGGGACAACTACAACTGCTAGGGGGGGCTCAGCCCCATCTTGCCCCCCCGTAGCTACGGGGCTGTGTAGTCCTGCAAAACGGTCCGAATATGAGGAGCTGTTAACTATGCAGGGTTAGTATAAGGTCCAGGAACGATTGAATAACTTTGTTACTTGAAAAGCTTTTTTTTGGAAATTTTGTATGGATATATAGTTAAACATGGCGACTTGATTACAATATATTTACTTTTTTTATCGCTTTCGGTTTAACACACAAGGTCGCGTACTTTTTTTTAATGGAACACCCATTTTTTATTTTTTTGACATTTTCTGATGCAGAATAAAAAAACTAATTTCAGAAGTTATTTCTACTGATACAAAAAATTGGTCGAAAGTTGTTTCGACAGAACTTCCCTCGCTTCTGAAGTACATTGAAACATATCCAGCATTTTCGAGTTGAGTTTTTTCTTTACACAATTTTGCGATGACGTCATCAACATTTTTGCAAGGACACGTATATCAACTTGGATTGGTGCAGTTTAATACTGAAAATAACAGTATTGTATTCCCAGAATTTTCTGGGAAAATGGAGTGAACCGTTCCTGATTTAATCAATAAAATAGACTCATTCATTAATTTTTTTGAGCCACATGTTTAAGCACAACTAAAAAATATGATTGCAGTGATAAATCACAAATAAAAAAACTCGTCATATTTTGTACATTTTGGGTAGAATTTTGAAATGACGTGATCAATTTTTTGGGGGCATAAATAAATAGATTTTGATTAACAATTTACCATGCTTACAATAACTTTAAAATGTCTGCCAGATTTCAAAGTATTCGGTTTTGCAATTCTTGATTTATTCAATAAAATAAATTGAGTGATTAAATTTTTTTTTTGAATGACCATGTATAAGCAAATCTAAGAAAATCAATAAAAAATTTGTCGAAGTCTGTAAATATAATCCGGCAAATTCAGCTCTTTCAAAAATTATAAAATTTGATTTTACGATTTTCCCCTGTAAAGTAAAAACCAGAGGCAATAAATATCACCCCTTGTCCTTCAGCACTAAGTAATAGCAATCTGAAACTCAAGTGTTTATTTATGTTTACACATCGAAAGAATGTCACGCAGAACTTAGTTTCATTTGAATGAGTTTGTCTTCTCAAAACAGAGGATTAAAATTATTAATTAAACCACAATCGAACAAAATGTTATGAACATTATAATTCTTATTTAAGTAATCATTATTATATAAAAACGTGCGTATTCTTCACATTTTCGAGAAAATGGGATGATTCGTTTTTAATTTGAGCAATAAAAAAATTGTGATAGCGTTATGAACATGGATATACTTAATTCTAGTCACAGCGTTATATCAATGCACGAAAAAGAAAAGAAAGAGCTAACTTCGACGGTATTCAGCCGGTTTGCTAAGAAAGCCGCTGACTCACTGCCCCACGAACGCTTTTGCTGTGTGTTGGTAATAAAACGTTTTATAACGTATGGGTGTTTTTGCGAAAATTTTAACGTTTAGCGAAAAAACTGAAAACGGATTCGTATACTACAAGTATACCAGTATATTTTTTTGTACCATTCAACTCATTTTAAAATACGGTTCATTGAGATGACGTCATCAAATTGTTGGTGGGAATGATTAGCCAAATTTTGGATAGCATTTTTAACCATCTACATGATATTTCTAACATACATACAAAATTTGAAAACAATCGGTCCAGCAGTTTCGGAGATTACTTGTCTAATAAAAATGGATACAGACAGGCGGAAACGGGAGACTACTTTTTTCGTACTGTAGGGGTCACGTACGTCGAGAAAACATACAAATGGTCATTCGTCCGATGGACTCGATTACAATACTTCCTTCGCTTACGCTCGGGAAGTTAAAATAGAAAAAAAGATCACAAAAAACACCAACTATTGCAAAATCACGTCATCTTTGAAAATACTAATAAATAATGAACTATAGTGGGACTACAATAAATGTTCAAAGTGTTCTCCGTTTACAATTTGGCAGTGATGCAATCGATTTTTTTTAAGTTTGATTTTTAATTTTTTAAAGTTTTTGCAACGTGGTTATAAAATGGCTTTGAGAACCACTGTTTATCAAAACACGGCATGCGTGCCATTTTTTTGTGTGTGATCTAAAATGTAAATTACAGCTGTCGGTAATAATAATACATTTTAGTTGAGATGCGCAGTTTTATTAACACACGTCTGCGAAAATTTTTAAAAATTTGCAGGCCCAACACCATTACAAATAAAGAACTATGGGTAAGATTTGTGCAAGAACCAGTAAGAAAGGAAAAAATTGGGGTCAATAGTTTTGGATAGTACTTCCCTTGCTGTCGGAAACGTGACGATTGCATGCCTATTATGTTTTTTTTTCGCAGTAGATTTCAAAGCATTCGGTTTTGTAGTTCCTGGGTAAATCAATAAAATAAATTTACGCATTCATTAATTTTTTTGAGTCACTCTGTATATGCAAATCCAGAAAATATGAATGGAATGATAAATTACAATAAGTACAGGTACAGGCTCATCATATTTTGTACATTTTAGATAGGATTTATTCAGAAAAATTTTGAGGTGGCGTCGTCAATTTTTTAGGGAGGATGAGCAAATACATTTTGATCAAAAATTTACCATACTTATGCTAAATTTAAAACATTTCCAAGATTTCAAAGCATTCAGTTTTGTGGTTCCTGATTAACTCAATAAAATTAATTCACGCATTTCATTCATTTTTTTGAGTCGCCCTGTATGTGCAAATCCAAAAAATATGAATGGAATGATAAATCACATTTTAGATAGGATTTATTCAGCAAAATTACGCTTACGCTTGGGAAGTAATAAAGGAAGGAAATGGAATTGGATAGGGCACACTTTGAGAAATCAACATGATGCCATCCACAGACATCCATTGAAATGAAATGGACTATGAAAGGAGAACGAAACAGAGGAAGACCACGTTTAACCTGGAGTAGAGAAACCAAAGAGGAGCGCAAGAAAATGGGGAAAGGATGGAAAGAACTCGCAAGAGTGGCGAAGGAAAAAAGCGGTGGAGGCGCTTCGTGAAGGCCCTGTGCTCCGCAATGGAGTAAAAGGATTGTATATATTTAGTAACTGGTCAAACTATCGTTTACTGATTGTGATTATATCACGTGTAGACTGGAATAAAGTCACGATTAAAACATGACCGCTTTGTCGTATGGACTCATAATGAGTACATAAAAGTATAATTTCTAATTGAACAATTGTAGTCTATAATTTTTTATAATTCGGATACTTATTACTTTATATTCGTAAGAAGTGAATGACTATAAAAAAATAGTATAATATTTTGACAAGTACAAAGTAATTTAAAACAGAGTGCTAGGCAAAAAAATGTCTTTCATCGAAACTGTCATATATTTTTATGACATTAACATTATCACCCTTCAAGAAATCACAATGGGAATCGATTTTTATGGAGTTCTACAAGTGCCAAGAAACTGTACTGACTTAGACATTAAAAAGGCGTAAGAATGAAATGTATACAATCGTAAGATGCATGTAATGGGTAATCCTAGTTATAGAGATTTAGCTCTTGAGTTTAATCCAGAAAAACTTCAAAAAGAAAATGCCAAACACGTGTTCGCTCTCATATGTGAAGCATATGATGTACTAAGTGATCCCTTACGCAGGGCTGTTTTTGATCAATATGGTGAAGAAGGTTTAAAGCGAGGCGTACCAGGACCAGATGAATTTATAAAACCATATCATTATCATGGAGATGCAATGCGGACATACAGGTAAAAGTTCTTAAATGTGTTTTAATGATTCTGGAAGAATAAGTTCCAGAGATTTTTTTGGAACAACATCTCCATATGCCAATTTACTGGATTATTTGCAAAATCCAGCGTATGAATGCATGACTAAACATGGAAAAATGTTTCAACAAAAGCAACCACCAATAACGCATCCTTTATGTTTAACTTTACATGAAGTTTTCTTCGGAGGCATTAAAAAAATGAAAATACATCGTCTTGTTTATATAAATGATGAAAAAACAAAAACAGAAGTCAAAGAAAAAATTCTTACTATACCAATAAAACCTGGGATAAGACCTGGCACTGAATTATTGTTTCCTGAAGAAGGAGATCAAAATCCAAACCAAACCCCTGCAGATGTGATTTTTGTTACTGAAGATAGACCTGATGAAACTTTTTCAAGGAAAGAGGACGATCTTTTGATGATATATGATGTAACTTTAGAAGAGGCTTTAATGGGCACCACTGTCACGGTTAATACTATCGACCACAGAACAATTAGGGTACCAATAACTGACGTAATCTAGTTAGTAAAACCAAAAATTTTGTTTCCTATGACTACAAAGGGGATAACCTTACTTGGCGGTTCAAAACTGATTTTTATAGGTAACTGATTTTAATTTGGTCTTTTATCGTGTATATAATTCTATTTTCTATCCATTTATGTTATCCGGTGGCTTAAATAAGCCATAAATATGTAATCCCAACAAAATTGTCATAAACAGGTTACTTGCATGGAGCTGCAGATACCATGAGAAATACATATCTATTTTACGTTTCAGATATTTAAATAAAGAGAAATAAAGTAAAAAAAACCTTTAGTAAAGTGAATATTCTGTTATCTAGTCATCAATTTCAAAATTTATTGCGAAATTGTATTAACAGTGAATTTTTCTTCTCATTTTCAGAATGGTTCTAAAGCACCTACCTTTGATTATATTTTCTACAGTTTTTTTTTTGATGTTTACTATATTTACTGTAAAATCATTAGGTTTGCGGATTATTTAAATTAACACTCAATGCCCTGTTTTCAAATCAGTTTGTCGTCTAGTATACCTGTTTATAAAAATTTTGTTCTATAGAAGGAACAAAACACATACATTCCAAACGTGGTGTACCAGTTATTTTCCCGAAAATTCAAATTCAGAGACACAGTTTTGTATATTATCAAACATTGAAAATTGATTTAAAAAATAATCAATCACTTATTAGTTCAATAGTTTAGGGGTGTGTCCATTCTAGATTTCCCGTTCCTAAAAAAGTTGATATATTTAGAGACAGAACATCTACTTTTAAAAGTCTTGATACAAAAATTGTAAAACATGCTTTAATGTGATTACTTTGAAGGAACTAGCCAAATGTAAAGTTGTCCCCTTTTATTTGTATACTTAAACTAATCCTGCATAAGAAAGATGTGCGTCTTTATAAAGCTATAATTAGTTTTTTAAATTAATTTTAAGCATGTTACTACTGCGCTGCTCTGTAATTATTATATCAATGTTGGTTTGTAGCAACCGAGCATCTCCAAAATAATAATTTTGCAACAGATTTTATTAGATTTCCTCATCACAGGAAAAGACAGAAGAATATTTAAATGATGATAAGCATTGACAAACAACTTGAAAGTAATGATCTTAAAGTTCGAAACTTGCGGAACTTCTGAACTAGAGTTAAAATGGAGAAAATATTTGAAATTAGCTTAAGAAACAGAAGTAGTACTGTTGTACCAAAATAACTAAACTTAAAAAACAAAATACCATTTACAACGTAATCAATAATCGTTAATCACATATATTACAATATACATGGTTTTAACTGTCACGTTGTTTGCTCACCTCCTCGTTTACTGCTACTACATTAATGGTGGGAAGTCGAACTGTAAAAAAAATACATGTTATAACAAAATAGTTTGGCAGGCGTTGTAATAAATTTGTTTATACATATATATTTGTAGGTATACAGTGCACTTGCACGATAAATTTTAAAAAGTTTGATGAAATATGTCTGTCAGTATAATTGCCTACTGAAAAATTGACGGTTACCTTCCTTAACCACAAGAAAAACTGTTATCGTTGTCCAGAGATCTAGATAAGTATTTGTTTATATAGCTAAGTTGAATACGAACGACAGTAATGTAGCAAGAACATACCTACAGTCTGAAATCAAAAAGCATTCAAGGCTATGCATTTGTTAATAAACTTTTTGATAATTAAGATTAGATCTTCTAGACTGGCAGCTGAAGCTCAAAAAAGGACCAAAAGTTATTTAAACGAAACTTTCCCCATATCCAGTTTGCTCAAAAAATTATAAGATTTGATTTTGAAAATTTTATTTTTTACGATAATCCCTCTAACTTAAAATAAAGATATGAGTTACCATGTATAAGCAATTCTAAACAATATGAATGTACTGATAAACCATAAGTATAGACTCATAATATTTTGCACATTTTAGATATCATTTTATTCGTCAAAATTTTAAGATGACGTCTTTAATTTTTTGGAGAGGGGTAAAGGATACATTTTGATTAAAGATTTACCCTCCTTACTATAACTTTAAAGCGTTTGCAAGACTTAAGTGCATTCGATTTTGCAGTTTGAAAGTTACATTGTAAAATGCTGTTGTGCGATTTCGATTTTTTTGATACATACAAAATTTGGCAAAAATCGGTAGCTTACGCTCAGGAAATAAAAATCAAGATGGATTCATAAACTATACGTGTAGGAATGTTATTTTATAAAATTTAAATAACGTTTACTATGCAGAGTTTCCAGGTGACGTCATCACATTGATGGTGGATATTATTAGAAAAACTTTGGTTAGCATTTAACTATCTACACGATATTCGTAACACACATATATAGTTTGGAAAAACATCGATCCGGTAGCTGCGGACATTATCTGCCTTATAAGAATCGACTCGTACTGCAAACAAACAGAAACGGGATAGGTACCTATTATTGTTTCGGTATTCTTGGGGTCATGAAATGTTGAAAAAATATGAAAGTAGCCACTAAAATACTTTCTTAACACGGGAAGTACATATGGACACTGTATAGTCAACAAGTTAACGTATATATCGACGTACATTTAGGTTTAGGACTGGGGTGAATATTACCATGCAGCAGTACCCAGTAACCATAATGTGAAACTATTACAAGTTGAGTATTTTCCACTTCCCGAGCGTAAACTAAGGAAGTATTGTAATCGAGTCCATCGGGCAACTGGACAGTTTCATATCTTCTCGATGTATCGTGACCCCTAGAGAACAAAAACATAGAACTCCCGTTTCCTTTTGTCTGTCTGTCGATCTGTCCTCTGTCTGTGACGATTTCAAACTTTGTCTAATCATCCCCACCAATAATGTGATGACGTCATGTTGAGGAATAAATCCTATCTAAAATGTGCAACATATGATGAGCCTAACTCATGATTTATCACTGCATCCATATTTTTTAGAATTGCTTAGACAGGTCGCTCAAAAAAATTAATAAATGAGTCAACTTTTTATTGATTACCTAAATGAGAAACTGCAAAATCGAATGCTTTGAAATGTTGTAGACGTTTTAAAGTTATCGTAAACATGGTAAATTTTTATCTGCATCTCAAAATTTTGCCGAATAAACACTTGAGATTTATTACAAAAAATTAATGAATGAGTCGATTTATTTTATTGATTACACACTGATTTTATTACACTGCATTTATTCAAATTGATATACGTGTCCTTGCCAATATGTTGATGACGTCATCACAAAATTTTGGAAAGAAAAACTCATTTCGAACATACGTGTAGAACGTTTCTTTACATTTACTTTAACATTAGATATATAGCTTTATTTTAATTTACAGAGGTTCTCAAAAAAAAAAATAAAAGTCCCAAAACCAAATTATATTTATATGTATGTAAGTACTTCAGGGGCGTTAGAAGTTGTGTCGAAATAATCTTCTAACAATTTTTTTTAAACGCGTGCCTAGCAGTTGTAAACAAATGTGTAATCTATTTATATTGGGTGCGGAATCCAAGTCTGGATATAAGGGAATGGTTTTTCTTTTATAATAATATCTTCCAGATCACTTTAAAGCTATTCTTGTGTGATGCATTTGTGGAGGTAAAGGAGAGCTATCGGCCAATATATTTTTTTCAAATCTTTGTATCGAGCCCGTTCACTGTAAAAAGGCATTAAAAATCGTTTTTTAAAATTAGCGCTCGGCCCAATTTGTCGCTTCAGTTCGTCGATAGCGTCTTTGGATTAGCCGCGGAAAATCGAGATGTCAAAGTGAATTTAGAAATTATTCCTGATTCTCACTCAGAAATGACTGAACATTTCAAATATGACTATTTTATCCAGTGTGATAATTATTGTAGGACAAATTAAACGCACAATCCATTCATTGGAGCTGGGTGTAGCACATGAATTTCTCCACGAAACTCCTGGTTATATTGCGCGACCCCGTCACACGAACCATCTTCAACTGCGCCCAAGTCGTATCCCAGAAGCCAGACATAAAGCCCTTCGAGCAGGTCGTATTCCTCAACACCTCCATCGGCAGCATCCTGGAGACATCCTGTGGGCCCGTCAAGCTAGGAATTTACTCGCGCTACCTCATTGAACAACTCAAACTGAAAATTGAATTATTTTATTCTAACGATTATTGTAGGACAAATGACACAAAATAAATGCCCAATTTGCAAAAGATATTTTATGAGGTTGCTCCTAGTGCTGGTCGATTTTAACGAGTTTTTATTACTAAAATCTCATTAAAATGCGATCAAAAAGCAAATCCCTGCTTGTTCTTATTATGTGATAATAAGATTTACCGTTAAAACAACAGCTGGCGGTTTTGAAAAGAACCTTTTAATAAAGCATCTAGATAACTACAAATAACAAAACTTAACAACAATAGGTAACGAATGAAGTAATGAAATATTGTACAAATCTGGAGTATTGCACTATTTACACAAATTCCTCAAAAAGGTCATCCTCGGCTACTGTACAGTGTACAGTAAGTAAGTCGATTTTCAAACTCCTACGCGTGTTGATCAGTATTTGAGGTGACATCTGAAGGCAACCTGTTTCAGCGTGTGTCTATTTACATAGCTAGTATTGTTCGAATACAGACGGTAATACGGTATTGAAGAAATCCCAAAAAAAAATCACAGGGATTTAAATCCGGCGAACGCGCAGGCCAATGGATAGTTCCGAACTTTCCAATCCAACGTTGCAGAAGATGCTGGTTCAAAAAAACAACATTTATGCGAGCTGTATGGCTAAAAGTTCTGTCCCTCGTGTAAAAGACCTGCTGCAGATGCCGCACTCTTCGAATTCCAGGAAGTATTTGCTGAGCTAGCATATTGTTGTACTTCTGAGCATTTATTTCATCCAGATTTGATGAAAAATGATCCAATGACATGGTGTCCTAGAAGCCCCAGCCACACACTGACAGTTGCACGATGGTCATGAACCACGTGAATGCAAATGCATCACTGAATAGTAGCTTTAAAGTGATCTGAGGAGATATTATAAAATAAAAATCAAATCCCCATATTAATTCCCTATGTCCAAACTAGGATGCGGCACCCGGTATACTTAATTATTGTTTTCAGTCCTGGATACGAGAAAATTGTTGAAAATGAAGGAATGCCTATTCTGGACGACTACCCGAGACGTGGCAACTTGGTAATTAATTTTAGTATTTCGTTCCCTAAATATCTACCAAAAGCTTGTAAAGAATTATTTCGAAAAGGTTTTGAATTAGCTAAAATTGGAGGAGGGTTTAATCAGTATGAAACAGTAAATAAATTAGTATTAGCTGACAAAATTTTACGTGTCGACTTCAATGAACAACTTCCTCCTACTTAACTATAATTTACTAGCAATAATTTTTATATGAAAATGTTATAATTTCTTTGTAAAATCATTTCTGATTAATAAATAATTACTGTAACTACTACATCCGAACTTTTACTGTCTTTTTTTTTATCAATAAATCGTCGGTGAGAATTTCATCGATTCCACTATACTGGAATACTGGAAGGTATAGTTGTAGAGGAATAACTTAATGTACAATCTGAAAGAAGTCTGCAATGTGACCAATAAGCCAGTGAACCCGGACGATGAACCAATAAAAATAGTGCATAATAATGCAATAAGTAAGCAAAAATTATAAGCACTTGTCGGTTCATCGACAGGAAATGTGAAATAGCTATTTATGGTATAAGTGCATAAAAGTGAATTTTATCCAACGAAAAAACAGTTTAGTACACGAGGCGAAGGTGAGTGTAATAATGTTTTTGAGTGGATAAAATTCGTTTATTCACGTGTATCATACAAGATTTTTTCCAATTTCGCAAAATTTTTCAAAAAATTTATTGTTTAGGTAATCCATATACATAAATATTAATTGTACTATTACTAATATGATGAACATTTGAAGAAGGTAAATTGCCTAAGCTGCCTGTACTTTCGCCACGGTCAAATTCAAACGACGCCCCTGGACTTTCATTAGGATTGTTTTACAGGAGGTGGACTATCAAGCGTTACAAATTTTAGTTGAATATCCACACATCCATAAGAACGAAAATTTCAGTGGTAGTGCGAATTTTTAGTTTTTTTACTTTATTCGTGTTGTCAATGACAGTGTGAATAAAGTGTTGCTATAATTGTTTTAATAGCGAGATTTAACATACAAAGTGAGCATTTTATTAGTAGAAATTGGAAAAAACATATTTGTTAGAATGAGCAAGAATTGTAAGTAAATAGGGTATTTGGAAAGTTGTAACGAGAGTGATGTTTGAACCTTCAAGAAGAGTGTTAATAAAATTAGTTAGTAAAAAATATTAGAGTTTTTTTTTTACAGAAGCTCGTCGGGGCATCTACCAGTTTTTGAAAAATGAAGCGCGGAGTCATGCAATCTACGGCTATAGAACATTCAGTTTCAACGAAAACTGTCGAATTTAGCATGAAGGATTATTCTAAAAAGTTTCGTTTTATGAATGTCGCTTTTATATGATTCAAAACAACGGAATAGATACGTGAAATCTGAGAAAATGTATTTTATTAACATGACAGATAAGCAGAACAATGTGACGAGCCTTCACTAAATTCGTTCACGGGAAAATTGTAACTAAAAAGACGAATAATAGATCCCCAAACCATAACTAGAAAATTTGCAAATCTTAATTAATTAACACGCATGTCCTAATCGGCATATAGTACCATTCAAATAGATAAACAAACTCAGCCAACAATCGCCGAATGCAGGAACAAAATTCGCGTATTCGCAAATTGCAAATAACATTGCGCTTGCCAGACATTGCAAATAACTTGTACAGAATAATACGCCACAAACATCACCAATCGCAATTACTTTCATCTGAAATTGTATCCAAACTAAAACAGCTGCAAACGAAACCCAGACGGATAAACAACCTCAAAAAAAACACCGTCTTCAAAAATATTTAGCTACGATAGGCTAACCACTTGTGGCGATGACGAAATGAAAACCATGGCAAAACTTGAAAAAACCCGAAGATATACGACACACTAACCAATAAAAAACGTCAGCAGCGGAGCCACAATTAAAACGAAATTAAACCCTATAAAACAGTGAAATAAAACCTAAAACCTAAAGCGTCCCGAGTAATACACAAATCATGAAGAAATATAGTTCACCAAAGTCGCGGGAGACAAGATTAATGCGTAAAAATCCCTATATAAGCAGTAGCGCCGAAAACGGTTTTGATTCAAGTTTCGAGTTGACGTCGGAGACTCTGCCCAAACCTGTGTCGAGATTTTTTTACTATTTTTGCTGAATTTTGAAGAAATCCGAACTTAGAAGAATTTTCTGAGCCCGAGAGGAAGATAGAGAAATTCTTAATGCTGCGACTGTGTAAGTCTACCTTTTAGTCATCCTTGGTTTATCTTGCTGTCCATTTTTTCATAATGTGTTCTCGAGTTCGAGACGTACATATGTAGCGTTTAATTTATGCGTTTTCTTCGTTACGTTAGGTGTGAACAGCTAGCGCCGGCAAAGAAAGTAATCTTTAGTGCTACCATATGTTTTCGTTTGCAGGTGACACGTTTGGCCTTGCGTCGGTTCTTGGTCGTCGGGGAGGATTTTTCGATGAATTACCGTTCGTTTTTATGATAATTATTCCAACGTTTCCTTAATTTGTGGATTTAACCCATTTGCTTGCGACACGGATATTTTATATCAGTTTTTTGGGAGTTTTCGAATTGACACCATTTTAATTTAATTTTCTTGCATTCTATAATTTTATGTTGAATTTTTGCCGTTTAAATATGATTCTGTTCTCTGATTATTTTGCTATAGTATTTGGAAACCTCGCATTTTATTTTAATTTAATCGTCTCACTGTATTTTAGGGCATTTATGGTACTAATCTCCCAATGTTTAGCTGCAATTAAAGACTATTGACTGTTCATTTTTGGATATATTTAACTGTCCAGTAACTGCTAGTTTTTCTCGTGAACAAGTGTCGCGCTCGGCGTATTTAGCTAATCAAACAACGTAAAAATGCATTTATCTCTCTTTTTACATGTTTGAATTCATAAGTTAGCGTAGATTTGATTGCATGATTTTATTCGTTAATTTTAATTCTCCTTCTTATCAGTGGGAAATTTCTCCGGATTCCACTGAATTATTAGTTTTTAATTGTTTTAGTTGCTTTTAATAATTTTAATTAGCAGATAAATGCCTAATCGCAGTTTATTAAATAATTAAGTAAATACTCGATTTCAAAGTTAGCAATTTTCGAAGTTTATTTATCACGCACGTAATATTAATATTGTCAGAATCTGAAAAGTTCTTTCACTTTGGGGCGATCTGTCAACACAAAACGCATCGAAGATCACCGACAAGAATGCATAAATTATTACTCAAGTTAAAAATACATTAGGGTGACGACAGCGAGATAAAGTGAAACATGATTTTTACATAGACACAACATGTACATTTTTCTAAATCCGGCTTTCTTCAAAATTCAGCAGAAATTCGGGCAGCGATTCAGGCTGGAAGATTTCAGCGCTTCAGAACAACAGCACGATACTTTGTAATCGAAGTCTTGAGTCTGTGTTTCCGCGGTGTAAGACTGTAAGACTTTATAAAGCACTTGTTTCATTGATTATTTTTTTTTTTTTCCATTCAATTGAACCATATACGATCTAAGTTTGATTGAAGCCATTTGTCCGCGGAACAAAAAAAAAGGAAACCGGACCTACACCTCATTCATGCCTTTTGCTAACGTGGAAAATAGAAAATCCAACTACTACAAAGGAAAAATAAAAAAAGGTACACCTGTGTTCAGGGCGAACGACAAAACACAAATTAGAAAATAATTGTTGAGGAATTTCCCCTGGGGTGTTTATCTTTGTTTGGTTGCCGTTTTGACACATACGCATGCATTAATTAACTAAATACATTCGCACACAATTAAAAGAGAAAAAAAGAACAAAAAGAGAGAAGAAGAAAAGAGTGCATCGACCCAGGGACGCACGGTTGGAGTTTTAACTCTGCATTGTCAATTTATATAAATTAAACGCGTATACGTGGCGAAATCATTTATTTTCTCTTAAAATATATAAAAAACCAAAAATATATTCCGTTTGTATTTTTTGATAAAACGATGATTAAAGAGGATGATTGGGTTAATTAAAGTAAATATCCATGGATTGGTAATTGTTGTTTATTATAAAATATACTTTTTTATTAAGACCCACCACTGACCCGGAAATGACCGGCATTCAGGCAAGACTTCTATCATTACGAGTACTAAGACCAAGGAATGATATGCATTGATTAAATTAACAGAACAACTTTCGAGATTCTAGAATTACAGCATACAAATTAGCCTGCTATTATTCTCTAATCTCACCCCATCCCCAAAAGTCTAGCGTAACTACCGACCATTTATCCGCGCATCACTTGGAAAGTGACCTACACTACTCTGACCTACTAGTGCTAATCTAATCTCACTGACATGATCAGACTGTTCAAGAAACTTACGAACAATATGTCATGTTCCTAACAAAACAGCTTTTTGAATTTTGATAATTATTGAATCATTCAAATGCAAAGACTTTAAATTCTCAACTAAACTATTTGGAACTACACCTACATTAGAGATAACTAGGGGTAGATTTGAAATTTTTTTAAGATTCAACATGGATTTCATTTCTATCGATAATTGTAGATATTTTGAAATCTTGGTGTGGTATGTTTGAATAATGTTGTTTGTGTTAGAAAGAGCAATGTCAATGAGAATTGCTTCGTTCGTGTGTTTTTTGATAAGTATGATGTCTGGTCTGTTAGCTGTAATGTTTAAGTCTGTAAGTATTGTGCGATCCCAGTATAATTTGTATTTGTTATTTTCAAGGAACGGAGATGGAATGTAAGTGTAATAGGGTGTCGTATCTTCGATTAAGTTCATAAGTGTTGCTAATTCTTTGTGGATGATTTTGGCGACGTTGTCGTGTCTAGCTTTGTAGTCAGTTTGTGCTAGGATGCTGCAGGAAGAGATTATGTGCTGAATCGTTTCAGGTTTTGCTTTGCAGAGGCGACAGCAGTCGTTTCTTATGTTCGGATCTTTGATGATGTATTTTCTGTAATTCTTGGTATTGATTACTTGGTCTTGAATAGCAAACACAAGTCCTTCTGTTTCGGCATACAAACTTGATTTTTTTAACCAAATCAATGACATCTTCTTATTGACATGAGTTTCTTCTAAGTCTTTGTAGAATTTTCCATGTAGTTCTTTTTTTTTAGCCCACTTATAATTACACCAGAGTTAGGTTTTACTCGTTGGTGAAACGTTTCAACATAGATGTTGATAGGGAACCAATTCGAAAGAAATTAAATAAAATAATTATGTTTCGAAATCAATAAACTTTATGGAGTATAATGAATCAATTATTATTGGTCCAAAATTATGATTTACTTGTTATATTAACTGACTGATTAAGCATGGATGCTCTGTTAAATTTAATCATTCACAATTAACGGTTTGTTGCTGTGTAACATACATGATTTAGTAAGTCCATTTGCTAATCATAAATTAATAAATATGGTTTATCAGTCGTGCATGTATGTAATTTTTGTGTTTTTTTTTCCTTTCCGTCAACTAGATTAATGTGTATTTTGCACATGCAGATTTGTCGCTATATCATCTGCTCATAGCCTCTAATAATGTCTACTATAATTCGATTAAGTTTATAAATGCTGGTAACGTTCGAATTTACGTTTTTAATTTAATAGACATTGAACATTCAAATATAGCGTTACATCATCTATCAAGGACTTCAAATAACGGTTACATTGCTAAAACACATACAGTTAGCCTTCCAGTTTATTTAATGAATTCCGTGGGGTTACCCCAGCGAAAACAAAAGGACAAACAGGAAGAGACTCTATAATAAATGCACCTCCGTTGGTTGAAGAAAGAAGAAATAGAGAAAGGATAAAAAGTAATTTATGACAGAAAAACTGCATCGGAACGTAAGGAATTGCACCAAAAATTGTAGGATACAAATGTGTTTTTCCAACCACCCATGAAATTGTCACTGTGGAAGAAAATAAAAATGACACAAAACAGAAGGGTAAACACGTGTTACTCCAACCACCCTCAAGCTTGGAACAAAACCGGAAAAATAACTAATTGATCAACAGGTAGAAAAAACGTGAAGTATAGCTTTTTAGGTTGCCATCAGATGCTCATAAGTCACGAGGAACATGAGGTCATAACAATCAGATGTTACTGAGTTCCGTGAGCTACTTGTAGAATCCGACCCCCCCTATCCTATGCAAAAAAAAAAATAATGACATGTCAGTTGAAAAATTATATGCTTAGTAAAATTATTTCTATGCAGAAACTTTCAGAGACTTTCAATATTACGTCTTGGCTAATCATCCTCACCACCAATAGGGTGATGTCATCTCCAAAATTTACAATATTTTTTTATTGTATAAAATAAAACAGATTTTTAGAAAAAGAAAAAAACAAAATTGTATAACAACTTTTTGAAATTTAACTTTGAAAACGGAATGCTCTGAAATCTTGCAAACGTTTTAAGGTTATCGTAATCATGGTACATCGATTAATGACGTCATCTGAAAATTTTGCCGAATATTTTTGTCTAAAATTTGCAAAATATTATGACTCTATACTCGCGGTTTATCAATGCACTCATAGTTTTTAGAATTACTTATACCGGCTGACTCAAAAAATTAATGCATGAAGCAATTTATTGTATTGATTGTACTCCATCTATCCAAACTAATACACGTATCCTTGCTAAAAATGTTGATGATGTCATCATAATTTTTTGTAAAAGAAACACTCACTTGAAACAAACGCTTAACACGCTTCTTTACCTATACTTTAACATTAGATAAATATCTTTATTTTACTTATAAGGTTATCATAAAAAATAAAATTCCCGAAATCAAATCTTATAATTTTTCTGGATTTATCGCATTGTACTTAAGGGACGAAGGAAGTTCTGTCGAAATAACTTTCAGTTAATCTTTTTACAAGCAATACTGTTCGTATTGCGCATTTAGTACATTGTACTGTCACTTGAATAAAAGTTAAAAATCGGCAGACTATTATGCAATAAAATTCTTTAACATCCTACCTCCGTCCAAGAAAATACTAATCGGTTGAAATTTAAAACTTGTATGAATGAATTTCTGATCCTGCATATATTGCTTTTGCAATATCATCGGTATCTGGTTTTGGCTACTTTAGTCACTTCAGTATGTGGTCCTATGCAAATTAAGTTAGTATTATTTTGTTACAGCAGATATACTCATATATTCAGGAGTCTAAATATTTCTGTACTAAATGTATGGCTATAAACGTATAAAAATACGTTTATAGCCATACGTATAAAAGTACTGTTGTTATTATTATAACAATTACCTACGACAATGAAACCTGACGGTTAAAAATTATGTATTTTACAATAAGATTTACAATAACAACGTTAGTGTTGTGAATGTTTGTGTCGTCGAGAAAAATCAGTTTATTTTCCGTGCTAATACTTATTAAAAAAAATAAATACGTTTTACAGTATTTGGATAAATATACTTAAACTTACTAAAAGGTTACAAAAAAATGGCCATCGTTGTACATCAATTACACGCAATAAGACTACGAAAAACAACAAAGCATATATAACTGATATTTCTTGTCTGAAAGTGAATCTTTATGCCTTCACCATTGATGAAAGTTTTGTTTCGTTTTATGAATAATAATTAATTACCAGAGTTCTCATAATTAAATTTTCATTAACTAACCAGCAAAATACAAAATAAATAGTTACCAGTGCTAACTACTTTTTTATTGACTTATATCAATTATATTATTATATATTAAAAAATAATAAAGAAACCAGTACATGCGTGTGTGAAGTATCCTTGGATGTATTGATGTCAGACACGTGGAATAAAATTATTACTTAATTATTACACTTTATCTTTTAATGGTAAAATTTCCACCAGAGTTAAAGGCGACCTTAAACCATATAACAAAATAAAATTATTAAAATATCTTAATAGTTTATCAAAACAAACTAACAAGACATTTTGCAGTAATTATTTAAGTTTTAAAAAGATATATTTCTGTTCTCTTGTTTCTATTATTTAATCTATATATAAATATCAGAAACCTGAAATTCACGTCAATACTTTATTTTTAATGCATGTGAAATTATTTGGTTAACTGTGACATTGAAATATGCAGTACCCAAGCAACCTCGTTATTATCAGAGGTCATCGTAATTTTTCTGGTTAGTCGAAAGTCATTATTGGACTTACCTGCTCTTTAGTGCTTATTTTGTGGTTGACTACTTTGGCAGAAATACAACTTTGTAAAGGTAGGTATATTACATACTAGATATAGAACATCAATTTAAATTTATTTTGGTTCAATAAGTAACTCATCTTGCAAACGTGTAAATATAAACATACACTTACATAATCGTCTAAAAAATATATGTGTAACATTTATCACATTAATTGCTACATGAAATTATGCAAAAAAATGTTTGATAGACATCGTATTGGTTGTTATCTTTCTTTTATTATATTTTTTTTTTTACAAACTAATGTTATTTTTTAAATTACTGTAAGATAAATATCTTTGATAATAGTAATTTTAGTACAGATTATAGATTATACATATACAAAAAAACGCTGATAATTATTTAAATAATACAAATTTAATAATTAAAAAACAGCTTTTAATATCTAGACTTCAGTGAAAACAAGTGAAAAGTAAAACATATTTTATATTACAAACAATTTATAACAACACATTTTTAACATTTATATTTGTAAACAGAAGCACAAAGAGCAAAAATGTTCACAAATAATTCCATAACTTGTAGTATATTAATGATTATTTATAGACCTAGTGAATAAGCATATTTTTATTCACCGAGAAGAACAAAGCTTACGGGTCCGCAGGTTAATGGGCTAGTACTTCGAGTGAATAATTAAGCTTAACTCAGGTGGTTGTATACAATAATATTTTATTTGATTTTGACGAAATAATTCTTCAATCAATCAAAAAGAATCAACTTTGCAGCGGGCACACGATTTATTTTCACAACAAACTTTCAGTGAAAATTGCAAACAACTTGCATTGTGTGAAAACCGCTAAAAAATTAATGGCAATCTTGATAAGCAAGACGTTTATGTCTCCGAAGCTGTTTTTTATTTTTCTGAGTGACTTAAAATTCTGAGTTAATTAAAAATTTCGCGATTCACTTATAAATAAAAACTAATTTGTGAAGGTTGCTAAGGGTTTAATAAAAACAATTTAAAACGCCAAAAGTGGATAAATATAATTATTACTTATGGAGTTGTAGATACACTGAAAAACTCATTTTGATCGACTGGAAAAAACATACTGGAAATTGATTTAATTTAATGGGTATGGAAAATATTGAACTGAGTTTATTGTCAGAGTTATATTAGCTTGAAAATTCAATACTTTCTCTTATTTATATTATTATGCTCAGATTTTGAAAGTTAAAGATTAAGTTCAGTCAGTAATTTTACTCTTCTTTGTTTTCAAATTTTAACCTCTATCCATCACTCTTGCAGCATAAATAAACTTCGAAAAATATGCCAAAAAAAAAATGTAATTGAAACTTCTACGTCACGCAATTATTCATAACAGATACGTTTTAAGACTCCACATTTAGATGAAATTATTAAGTAAAATTGTAAGGAGCAAATTTTCAAATCACTAACTCAAAAATTCTAATTATTTGCTTTGTTTATTCTGTTGATAGGCTTTGGATATACAGCCTGTTATGGAATTGAACACAAAAATTTAAGTGAAAGTAGAACTCATCAATATATGAAACTTTGATATATAACATTTTTTCGAAAACCCATTTTTTTGTCATTTTCTCCCATTCGTTTTGACAAGACGGTCAGTATTTCAAAACAAATTCACAGTTGTGATTTAACTACAAAAATGCAGTTCGCAGTAAATTCTCACAGTGTTCGGGTTGTTTACTCCCAGTGTAAAAGATGATACAATGGTTTGTACCAACGTAGAATACAGGGATAGGGTACGATGAGGCTTTGTTCAACACTCAGGAAGCGAGACGTCTGTCTACACAGTGTGCGCTTCCTAAACCGACGCCTTTCAGCTGAACACACGTTTACTGCAGCAGTTTAACATCTACATGATTTTGCGACTCTCGATCATAATCGTGGCCAGCACCTCTACACATCAGGTACTTGAGCCGGAACCCGAAATTTTGGATGCTGTTGCCGTAGAACCCAATATCAGCATTTGTCGATTGGCATTTCGTATGGGTATTTCGAACTTTATTAAATGGTGAAGCCTTCACGAACAAGAATTGCACCAATTCCACCTTCAACGTGTGCAAGCGTCACAAGCTTATGTTACTCAGTAGTTGTGCATTTTGGAAATATAGTAGTAAAAATGTACCAATGCTTTGGCCTCCTCGTTCACCGGACTTAAATCCCTGTGATTTTTTTGTGAAAAGTTAGTGTACACGACCCCCAGGAATTCTGTGCCATCTAAGGGTGTCTCAATAAATCTGGTGGTTCTTATTTACTGTTCAAACTATTTTATGTCCCCAAATATCGAGAATTGCCTTAACCCTTCCAAAAACCACGCAATGCTTTCGTTTGCGAAATACATTTTGGTGAAAATTTTAGATTTTCTCTTCTCGCGTTGATATTTTCCAAAAATGTTTTATAACAATTTTGTTTAAATTGTTTCGTGTAATTTATAAAATATGTATTTTCAATTTAAATTTTTGAGCGGTAAAGTTTTGAACAAAGCGTTATATATAATGAGTGACAAAAGTAAAAGAACACTATGAAGGAATCGTGATTTTGTAATGCACTTTTATACATAGGGTAAGTGTTGTCAGAATACGAATTGATTAAAATTTCAGTGTTATCGGTCCAGTAGTTTTAAGGAAAACTTTTTTTTGCTCATACACTGGAGAAATACAATTACATTTCCTGACACGTCAAGAGACATTGATCTAATGATATCATCAACATCATTCTGGGGTATTTCATATTATGCCACCTATAATTGGTGCCAAAATCCTTTCAAAAACTCTAAAGAAACAGGGTAAATTGGGTAGCCTTATACCTATCACATTCCGAATTTTTCGATTAGGGATATGTCAAAGAATTTTAAACGGTAAAGGAGAAGATTAACTTCAACTTCTTCAAAACCGTCTATAGTAATCCTAGCAATGCGAGGTTAGGCATTATCTTGTTGAAAAACAGCGTTTTGCAGGGTGTGAAGATATGGAAGAAGATATATTGCCGTGGATCTATAGTTCTTCTAATGAAAATCAAGGGTGATCCACTGCCGTATCCAATCGCGACCCACACCATAACCCTAACAATTCGTTGCACATGCCACTCCTCGAAAAACTGTGGATGTCGTAGTTTTCCACGCCTTCGCCTTATCCTTATCCGATCATCGCTCATGCTCAAACCAAATCATGATTCGTCAGTAAAGACGACTTGATGCCATTCTTCATTACAATCTAACCTTTCTCGAGACCACTCGAAGCGTTGGCATGTGTGAACAACCGTGAACACAAATTGTAGCCGACATGAGTCCGAAAGACTTTATATGACTGTTGATGGTTGATGGCTTACAGCTAGCAGTCTTAGATGACGCTCGTGACGTGCTGTTGCTTATGGGGGACGCCCTAAATGTCTGGCTCGTTGTGCCGTTCTTTGTTGGATCCAAATCCGATAACTGTTTGCCACAGATAAGGCCCTGTCAAACGGGCTACAATTTAGCGAAACGATAATTCTTCATTCTGAAGACCCCCTATTCGACTTCTCTCAGAGTCGCAGAGTTGGCTAAAATTTAGACGAACACGTCAAACACAATAACGTGCCGGAAATGATCAAATGAGCCATACATACCATGGTATGTTTTTCATCAGCGTACAAGAAAAACATTTTTTTTAACTACTGGACCGATACCATTCAAATTCTTTCCCGAAGGAAAAAAAATGTTATAATTAATTCAGTAATAGAAATTAATTATGCATTTTCCGCCCGGAATGAAAAAAAAATAAAAAAGCCATAAAAAATGAACCCATCGCGGACACGGAAAACTGAGCAGTGATGTCATACAATTGTCAAAATTTCTAAACCAGACCTTAGCTACTCATAACCACGCTTCTATGTTTGGCGTATTTGTCATTTTGACACTGACAAAGTCGAAGTTTTATAAAATTTGTTTCAATTATATTAACATGCAGTACTGTGTACTTTCAATGATTCTCGTAGTTGCGAATACCTCATACGGCGACGAGCAATTTTGTCATTGCCCGGAAAATGGCTAATTATGTTTGCTTCAGGAGCACGGGCTCTCTCTGGTTATATCAACCAAAGCATCGTCTTCGTCAAGTGTAGAAACGAGATGTCCCCTTGACACTGGACGATCAAATTTTCCGTGCTTTTTGGAATAACAGCTACTGCTCGAGATTTGTTAAAAATTGATACAGCTGGCATGTTGAACAAATTGATATATTTCAAAGTTAATTTGACAGTTTTTCCAAAAATATCAATCATATTGTGATAACCCAAACTTCCCGCCTTAAAAATTGACCTTGAAACAGTTTGAAAGGCCCGCGAAAAATTCAAAAATTCAAAGTTTGGCCTTGGCTGTGATCGTCTAACAAATGAGAACCTACGTTGTGTGTTTTTTTTTTTTTGTGGTTTTGAAAAATGGCGGGAAGAAGTTCTTTCATACAAGTGCATACACTGTCGAGAGCGCAAGAAATAATAGACAAAATTAGGAGCCTTCCTAAGGAGGAAAAAGAAACGAAGAACGACAGACGCTCGATTTGCCCTTCTGGCGAGTCCGCAGGGCCAAGGTGTCATCGGTCTTCATTCCCCAAAACCCCCTGGGGTTTTATTCACCGACATATTACATGTCAGACACCTTAAGATATGTGAAAGAAAAACACTCGCGAATTGACAGACATACACATACGAAAACCGAACAAATACAAAACCCTACACATATGTAAATTGGATGGCAGAACCCGAATCATTATGAGAGTGTGGCGATCGAACAAAATATAGAGCAAAATATATCAATTTCATTTACGAGCACAGCAAAATACCCAGAGGGGGGCGTCGTAGCGTGAGCGAAGTTTGGAGCTCCCGGTCTGGGCTGGTTTCCCCCGCGACGGTGATTCTATCTACAGCAAGCCTGCCAGACAGCACCCCTCCATGACGAACATGGCGTCCAAGCAGGCCGTTTCGGCCTAAAACTAGCGGTGAAGTTTGGTCAACTACTACCTCGTCGTCAAGACCGTTCCCACTGAAATCTAGTTCA